ATGATTCCTTAGATAACTGGTGAAGTTACATTGCGTAGATCAAAAAGATACACACAAATCTTACGTTAAAACATGCTTTAGACTCCAGTTTATTTTTGCATCTTTCTGTATTGAGCCATCCAAAATGTCTCAGACTTTGCCGGCACATTATTGCCCACCAACAAGAAATATACAACAACATTACACTTTTCTCACTGGCGATACAGCGTACTGCAATTACTTCGGCTCCATAATCATTACTTAGCGAGAGATGCAAGAAACAATAATCTGATAAAATCTTGCACACCAAGGAAGTCTCTGGCACTGCCTTTTCTGTATTCTCGTAACGTATTTGCAAAGCTATATAGAAAATCTGTTATTTGAATGATCTTCCTGTTTATTTCCCCAAAACACACAAACACACACACGGGTACACATACACACACACACACAGACACACACAGCCCAAGATGGACTATAAACTCACCAGGAAGAAAATAGTATTTTTAAAAATCATTTTATCCTGTACATCAAATGTCCATCTATTTTTTCTTTTCTACCTGATAAACCATTATGCATTATTTAAGATTCTCTGAGGACGTCTTCTGTCATCCACAAGTGGGGCTCCCTGTCCAACTCTATGGTTCCCCTATTTTGGTGCTTATCAGACATCATATTGGAATTTTCTATTTGTAAGTCTGCGGTTTGCTTAAAGGTAGTGGTCTTGTTTTATTAGCCATTATATTACTAGCCAGTATCACAGCTCTCAGCACATAAAATGCATTTACTCTCTCTCATTCAAGAAAGAATTGAATAAATATATGGAGAGAGTTTTTTTAATGATTCAAAACTGAATTAATGAGTATATGGTAAAAAAAAAAAGTAATTTTATCAGGCACCATATGTTGATAAAAATTTTGTTGTCACCTACTTATGTTATTATTCGTCGTTAGTTAGCATTAGAAACCAGTATATTTTAAGTGTTAGTGTTATAAAAAGGATTTTTATTAAAAATTTAGAACCACTTTTTCATTTCACACCAAATAAAGCCACAATATAGTGTTTAGAGGTAAACTTTCAACAACGTGTGTGTGTCTATTTCCTTCAGATGTTTTCTGTGCATGTACATGCGTATTTTGCAACACATCTATATTCTCTAACAAAACTGGGCTATCTTAGTATCACAGAAGGGAAGCCTGGATATTCATTAGATAACTAACAGTATCCACCCAAAGGGAATAAGCATGATCCCATATATTTGTAACAACTGCCATATTTCTGTGTATACATATATAGTCCAGTAGGGCTGGCAGAACACTAACTGCTATAGATCAGCAGATACCTTGTGTATCAGAACTATGACACCATCCTCTAATTATTCCTTGCCTCTGATCTCCCTATAATAGCTTACAATGAAGACTGGCAAACTCATTTTTTTTTTAAATAAAAGAAAACACTGTAAATATTTTAGGCATTGTGGGCCAGTGATATGACCACCCAGCTCTGCCACTGCAGTGCCAAAACTACCACGGACAATCTTCAAGTAAACGAGTGTAGCTGTGTTTCAGTAAACGCACAAAAACAGGGAGCAGGACAGATTTGTTCCCCCTACCATTGTCTGCAGATCTTTGCCCTATAATATCATCAACTTTTGGTTTCTAAAATCAGAGTTGCTCAGGCACAGTGACTCACACCTCAAATCCCAGCACTTTGGGAGGCCCAGAAGGGCGAATCATTTTAGACCAAGAGTTCAAGATCATTCTGACCAAATGGCAAGACCTCGCCTCTACTAAAATTACAAACTTTAGCTGGGCCTGGTGGAATATGCCTGTAATCCCAGCTACTTGGGAGGCTGACACTTGAGAACTGCTTGAACGTGGGAGGCAGAGGTTGAAGTGAGCCAAGATCATGCCACTGCGCTCCAGCCTGGGTGGTGGAGCGAGACTCTAACTCAAAAAAAAAAAAAAAAAAAAAAAAAATCAGAGTGAGAGTTAATGAAAATATCACCCATTCTTAAGAACACAATGTAAAGTGAATTTTTCCCTCCACTTTCGTATCATGTTCTATGCATTCATGTTACAATATGTATTATATGTTATTATCATGAATTGTACGAATTTGTTTTCCTAATGTGTGTATATACACACGCACACAAAAACTTACTGACCAAATATAATTTCCAATATTCAGCTTAAGGTTTCCCATAAAATAACTCAATAGAATCTTGCCTGAAACCACAGTAGTACAGAGAGTTGAAACTTACTCTATCTTGTCCTTTTTCTATACTACTTTCAGATATTAAATCTTTGTCCCTCAACCAGACTCATCTCAGTAAGAGAATTTAAGAATATTAACTTTTCACCATTCTCATCTTTCTTCCCAAACCCCAGATGAGGACTTTGACTTGTTCCCGAGTCCTCAACTCAGTCTTTTCTGCAAAAATTACTTTATGCCTCATGATTCTCACATAGATTATGTGGCATCCTTTGACAGTATTTCAAAAATATCCATTTGTATTAAC